TGAGGGGGAGGATTGCTTGAGCCCAGGAGGTTAAGACTGCTGTGAGCTGTCACTGTGAAACTGCACTCCAGCCAGAGCAAGAGCGAGACCCTGTCTCAAAGAAAAAAAAAAAAAAAAAAAAGAGAGATACAAATCCTATGAGCACTGCCTCAGAAATTATCTTTGTCTTCCACTTCCAAGACCAAGCAAAAGAAAAGGCCTTCATCATTCAAATATAACTACATAAGTGCCTGAAACCAAAGCCTTGTTAATTTCTAAAGGAGGTCAATTTGAACAAAATACATTTCAATATGGAAACAAAGTAAAGTAATTGAATGAAAATTATAGTTTAAACATCTACATTGTGGTGATTATATCAGGGTGAAGAATTAAGATGAAAAGAAGTATAGCAAAGTTTGAAACAACTTAGCTAAACACAAAAGTAACTGTAGAGTAGTCTGGAATATTAACTTAAATTCTTGTTGACTATTCAGCCTAGATATGTACAGGGCCCGCCATCTGCTGGCAAGGTTTGGTACTGCTAATTTGGAAAGCACTCAAAGGAGGTGCCAGAGGATAATTTACTCTTTTTTATAGCAACACTGCTCAATATTAAATACTAATACATTAGTCAGGTCTCAACAGATGCAACAAATATTATGCCTTGAATCTCTGAATTGTGTATTTCCTATTTTGTAAGACAGAATACCTAATTTTTGGCAGAAAGGGATTCTGGACTAGTAAAGCCCTCCCAGCCACTAACAACCTTCTTCCTCCTCCAGTCATATAAATGGAATTCTATAATATGATTCTTTTGCATCTGGTTTCTTTCACTAACCATTGTTTGTGAGAGTCATTCATGCTGTTAAGCATAGAAGTAGTTGTAATCATTTTATTTATATTAACAGATCACATTTTTTTTTTTCTGTTTTACTTTTGGGGAACATTTAGGCTGTTTCCAACTCCTGGCTCTTACAAATAATGTAGCTTTGAACATTCCTGGCTGTGTCTTTTGGTGAAAATATGCATGCAATTCTGTTGGGCATATAATTTAGAAGTGATATGATACTGCTGGGTCAAAGAGTAAGCAAATGTTCAAATTTAGGAGATAATGCCAAATAGTTTTCTAAAGTAGTTGACCAAATATATTTGAAACAATGGTATATGAAAGAGCATATCAGAATACTACATCCTTGCAAATATTTGGTATTATTAGTCTTAAATTTTTTTTTAGCCATTCTAGTGGGAATGTAATAGTATCTTATGATTTTATTTATTTATTTAAAGAGACAGAGTCTTGCTCTGTCATCGAGGCTGGAGTGCATTGGTGTCATCATAGCTCACTGCAAACTCAAATTCCTGGGCTCAAGTGATCCTCCCACCTCAGTCTCCTGAGTAGCTAGGACTATAGATGAGCACCACCACACTTGGATTATTTTATTTTATTTTTTTGAGATGGAGTCTTATTCCATCGCCCAGGCTGGAGTGCAGTGGTGTGATCTCGGCTCATTGCAACCTCTACCTTCTGAGTTCAAGTGATTGCCCTGCCTCAGCCTCCCGAGTAGCTGGGACTACAGGTGCATGCCACCATGCCAGCTTAATTTTTTGTATTTTAGTAGAGATGGGGTTACACCACGTTGGCCAGGATGGTCTTGAACTCCTTACCTCATGATCTGCCTGCCTCGGCCTCCCAAAGTGCTGGGATTACAGGTGTGAGCAACCATGCCTAGCCAGCACTTGATAATTTAAAAAATATTTTTGTAGAGATGGGGGTCTCCCTATCTTGACCAGGCTGGTCTTGAACTCCTGTGCTCAAGCTCCCCTTCCACCTCAGCCCCTCAAAGTGCTGGGATTACAGGTATGAGCCACCACACCCAGCCATATCTTATAATTCTAGTTTTCATTTTCTGATGACTGATAAGGTGGAACACCTTTTGATACATTTATTTGCTATGTGGGTGTTCTTTTTTTGGGAAAAGTTTCCTGCCCATTTTTCTATCTAATTACATGTGTTCGTTTTACTGATATACAGGGAGTCTTTATAGATTTCAGATACAAGCCCTTTCTCAGTTTTATGTATAACAAATATTGTCTGTAGTATAAGATACATAGCGATTTAAATACAGGACAACATGGCACCAAGCAGAGAGGATAAAGAATCTGGCATGCTCAAAAGTCCTTGCATGTTCAGGAAGTGGTTAAATGATTAATTTACAATTAGATTCCAGTAAGTCAGGGATATAAGTGACAAACTCCATAGTAACTTCTAGAATAATAGAAAATAAATAATAAAAAGAAAATAACGAGGCCAGGCATAGTGGCTCGTGCCTGTAATCCCAGCATTTTGGGAGGCCAAGGTGGGTGGACTGCTTGAGCCCAGAAGTTCAAGACCAGGCTGGGCAACACAGTGAAACCTCATCTCTACAAAAAATACAAAAAGTTAGCTGGGTGTGGTGGTGCATACCTGTAGTCTAAGCTACTGAGAAGGCTAAGATGAGATGATTGATTGAGCCCAGGGAGGTTGAAGTTGCTGTGAGCCATGATCCCACCACTGCACTCCAGTCTGGGCAACAGAGTGAGATTCTATATACAAAAAAGAAAAGAAGAAAGAAAAGAAAAGAAAAAACAAGAGAAAAGAATGTACAACTTGCAAATTAACTGGTATAAAATGAAATGATAAATATATTTGATTAATCTAAAAGAAAGCAAGTAAGAAAAAAGAAAAGGCCATAAAATTGGTAGGACAAAAGGAAACTTAAACCCAAATTAGTATTTTTTTAAAGATACTATAGGAAAATATATATCAAAAGAGAGCTATGACATAGTATCAGATAGAATAAATGTAGGGAACAAAAAAGAATAAGGTCAACTAATCAATAAAGGGATAGGTTAAGAAGATATGCTGCTGTTAAACTCTCCTCCTCCTACCACAACAAAATAGCTTCAGGATCTATATGACAATGCCATACAATTAAAAATCAGGAACATCAAGACATCTTGAAAACTTGCATACCTGCAAACCAAAACACACATCATTTGAATAATCCTTGGACTAAAGAGTAATTTATAAACTAAGTTATGAAATACCAAGAAGTTATGACAGTGATAATGCCTCATGATAAAACACATGTAGAGTTAAAGTAGGTCTTGGAGGGAAATTTTAGAGAATATTTTTGATATTTAGCTGGAAAAGACTTTCTAAAGATTCCTAAAGCATAAATCATAACGTGAAAATGAATGGATTTGAGTGAAGCAAAATTAATAATTTCTAAGCCACGAAGAACACCACAGACAAACTTAATAAGTGGGCAATAGATATAAGAAAATATTTATAATATCATTAATATTTATAATATACAAAATCCTGATTATCAATAGGAAAGGTACAGGAAACTCTAAAAGAAAAATGAGAAGGAATACTAATGGGCTATTCATAGAAGGGAAATATGAAAAGTATTCAAACTCACTAACAGGAGAAATGTAAATAGAACTTAAATAATTAGATAGCACGTTACATGCACCAGGTTGGCAAAGATCAACAATGACAGCTACAAAGATCAACAACGTCAAATATTGCCGGGGGTGTGAAAAATAGGAACCCAGCCTGCAAGTGGGAATGCGAACGCAGATAGGTGTAGTGGTCAGCCGGTGCTTGGTGAACTTAAAGTTTGTTTGTACTCAGTACCACCCCTGGGATATTAAACTCAGAAAAAGTGTCTTTTAGCCACCTAAGTGAAGCTGCGTAAGGATGGTCATGGCAGCAGAGAGCTGGAGACAAGCTGAATGTCTACTGTTCGGAAGATGGACAAACAAAATGCAACAAATGTATTCTATGGAGCATTATACAGGAACCACAACTGAAACATGCGGAGCAGAAAAAAGTAAGATGCGGAATGATACATATGCTACAAATTTATACCAACTTTAAAGACATAAATACATAAAACAATACTATTTGTTATTCGGCAATACATACTCAAAAACATAAGCCATCATCAGAGTACATACATATATGATGTGTGTGTAGGAGAATCAGAGAAAAGATCAGAAATAAAGGAAAAAAAAAATTTAAAAAACCATACCAAAGGACTTGCATAGACGAAGGAGGTCTGCACTTGCAGTTCGAAAATACCAGAGTAAAACAAACTAATGAGGAAGAATTGTGATCACCGAAGAAATGTCTTTAACAGCATGAGACAAAGTTGGTTCTTCCCACTTTACATCCACATGGAAGCATTAGGTGTGTTCTCTTGGGGCCCTTTCCTAGCATCTTTCTAAAAATGATTCCGTGGGTTCTGAGTTATCCTGGGAATTCACCTACACATGCAATCTAGTTAGGAAGGTAAAGTGAATTCTTCTGGCTTTGGGTAAGAGCAGCCATGTAGGTCAACCGGGATTCTCTGCCTCTTCTAGCACAGACCTTTCTCCACCTTCTCCTCTGCATAGGTCCATCTTTCCAAAGAGCGTGGGCAAACTCTGTCACCCCAGTACTCTGAGGAATTGGCTTAGGTTGATCTTTGGAGAGGGATAAAAGTACTAACTACGTATGACCTTCTTTTCCTATCTCTTCCAGCTGAGTTTATTTGGTGAATATAGAGTGAGGTAAGGAACAAAATCAATACTTTCATTATCACGGATTCAGATATATTTAAGATATTTCTCCATTGAGGTTTTCATCATAAAATCAACCTGTTGAAGCATTTTAGACTGCAGCAAGGCAGGGAAAAAAAAGGGAGGGAGGAAGAGAAGGGTGTAGGTGCTGGGGGTGAAGAAGGAGAGCATGTAAAGAGAAAGTCAAGAGAATAATGATTAGAACTCTGGAACCCACGGTGGATATGAGGGCACTCCACAGCCAAATGAAAAGTGCCACTGATCAATGCCTTGTTTGGGGCTGCTCTGACACGATTGTGTTCCTCTTTTACTTTTAGACAATGTCCACAGCCTTATGAAGAAGCTCCTCCTACCTGAGACAGATTCTACTGGCAAAGAGCCTCCAGCCATCATCTAAACTTGAAACTTACTGTGCAAATGATAATCTGATCCGTGCTTCAATTTCTATCCATTCTTCCTTTATAATCCTTCCACATTGTAGCAGCTCCTTTGAAAGTCTCTTTGCTTTCGTCAAATTCTCTGAAGCTTCCTTAAAACTAAATTGTGTTCAGGAAATTTTCCACTTGGTTCTAGATTCTATAACCCATGTCCTGAACTTCCTTGGCTCCCATACTTTCAATCACACTTCCTAAGGCATCCATCAGCATTAGCTTTTTACTTGGCATATAAGTATTATATGAATAGTATTTCTATTTGTAAAGGTTAGAGGCAAAAGGATACTTTTGAAGGGAGAGTAAAGCTCTCCCCATGGTATGGAAAAGCTCAACAGAAAACTTGAACACATCTGTGCTGTCGTTGTAGGGAGGCACAATGGAGTTGGCAAGGATTTGTTTGGCTTTTTCTGCATGTTGTTTCGCTTGCAGTGACAGTCCTGTGGACAAAGAAAAAGAAGTCTCAGCTTCTCTTTAATCTCGACTGGACAGGAATACAATTCCCCTGTGGTCTGGGAATCTAACAAGGTCTCCTTCACATATTCTCAAATGGCACATAGAGATGTATCTGGGCAGTATGAAACACTGTTATGACTGTACCAACCCAAGAAGTGTTTTATACCAAGTCCTGAAGATAAATTTTCCCCGAAATGGCTTTTTTTTTTTTTTTTTTTTTTTAGAAATAAACAGAATGAGCTAGAATGGAACAGCTTTGAAACATCACCAATATCAGAAGTAAAATATGTTACATATAATTATAATAAACAAATTGAATACAAGAACGATAGCATTCTGGGCAAGAAATAAAATATTATGAATTTTAATTCTGGCCATGTAACTGTAATCTTAAATGAAATACTAAAAATTATGAATCTTCGACTTACCCACCTGTAATCATAACATCAGTTATTTTAACATCATACATATCTGATTATAAAAACTTATAAACACAATTCCAATGAGGTAACAGACTAATGTGTGACAATCTCATATTCCTATGTAGTAACAGATGAACATGAGACAAAATGGAGCAAAAAAAAAAATACTACGAAGAACGAATTCCCCAGTGTGTTCCCGTGCTCCTCCATGGGCTTGCTAATCTGTGGGAAAGGAGGCCTGAGATCACCAGCAAGTCTTCAGGGCTTTGCACTTCCCTGTATTCCCAGTCTCCTCCCCTACACTAACACCCCTTCCACTCACATCCACATAGCCTCGGTCTTACGTTCTTAATTACACAGAATTGTGTCTCAGATCTCTAAAAAAACCTGTCAAAATATGAAGTTAATTCTGTTCCTATGTCTATAAAACAGGAAGAAGATATTTTCTAATGGAAAAAATCAAGGGTATGCTTTTCATGTGGGAATTCTTACACAATGTTGTCTTATTATACATCTTTAAAAAGTACAGACATGTATTTAGTGCCGCCTGTGATTGTGATGTTACACAAAGCATGGTGAACTATATTTTCAACTGTGTAGAGTCCCTGAAGGAACCTGAACTCAGTTTACTGGAGGCAGCATAGGGTGAAGTTCAAGAACATTGGCTCTGAAGTCAGACTGCCCAGAATGGATCCCCTGCTCCACCACTTATTATGAAATGTTGGCCTCAGCTTTCTCAGGCTATAAACAGGGATATTAAAAATACTCACCTCTGAGGACTGTGGTGAGGACTGAATAAGGTTATGCATGGAAAATAACATGATGCCTGGCACCCAATGAGACTTTAATAAATGGTAGATACTACTTTTACTTTAAATTGAGAAAGAAGAACTCTCACACAGACAGGCAGCAGGCTGTATAAGAAAAGTATCATCTGAAACCCCAGATGGCAGGACAAACTGGCATTGAAATCCTAGGTCTGAGTCTCAGATCAGCTACTTATTAACAGTGTGGTATGGGGCATGTTGTTCTGACTCAGACTCATTGTTTTCCCTGAATCTACAAAATGGGGTGGGAGGGCAGAGTTTAAATTAGATAATCTCCAAGGTCCCTAAGAGTCTTTAATCGAATAGGTGGGACCAGTCTATAATCAGATTTGGCCAAATTCATTGGGTGGAAATAATGAATATGCTTGGTATAGAATATTATGGTGTTTTCCACTTCTATTATTTTCTTTATTCACCGGGCCAAGCCTGGAAAGTTAGCATCACCATCACCATCATCATCACTTTTCAACTGAAGAAGCTGAGCACAGAGATGCTCTTGTCCATCTTAGTCTGCACAGTCAGTAAGTAGAAGCCATGATCATATCCTGGGTGTCTATTGTTTTTGCCTTCCCCTCACCCATTCTGCCGTTTCCCTTTTGGATGCCTGGCTCCTGCACATCCAATCCATGTGATTTGGTGAAGGGCTGCTTCTCCTTCAAGATCCAATGAAGTCAAAAATCCAATGAAGGTTTAGCCAATTAGACTATTCCTTGCCTTTGGTATACAATCCAGGTTGTTTCAATTAGAACCCATCCCATATCCTGGACTTTGGTAAATCTTGAAACCTGTTATGGGTTAAAAACCTCTTGAAACCTGTTATAGGTTAAATTGTGCCCCCTCCTCAACCTCCTTGAATTCATATATTGAAGTCCCAACCCCCAGTACCTTATAATGTAACTGTTTTTGGAGATGAGGTCTTCAAAGAGGTGACATTCTTTTACGCCTTGGAATGCTTATAATGGAAGCATAAAGTTACTGGCAGCCTTGCTGCCACCATGTGGGCAAAGCCTGGCTAAGAATGGAGCAAATACCAACAAAAACAGAGCCAAGCAGTGGAAGAGAGACAAACTGAATCCTGGTCACACTGTTTCAACTCTGGATATGGTTAAGTCTAAAGCAAGTTTTCCCCTTGAATTTTTAAGTTGTATGAGCCAAAAACTTTTGTTTATGGCAATTTGGGTTAGTCTTTTTAAACTTTTTGGTTATTTACAATCAAGAGATTTTACAGTCAAGAGATTCTCCAGTAAAAGTGTAAATGAATCCCATTCTGGGCCCCTATTCCATATCTTGGGTTTTTTCCTACAAAGCCTTCTGGCCCAGCAGATTAATTTTCTCCTAAGAACCCTACTTTTGAAATCATGTAAAAAAAAAACCCAAAAACATAATTTTTTCCCCTTTGAATGTTTACATGTTATATACCTTATCAGCTTTTTCTGAAAGGAAATGGCTTCTCAGTATTTGGAAAGAATATTTTAAAACCCAATCCTTCTAATTATGTGTGGATCAAATTTTGGGGAGAACAGCAGAAATCAACCAAGTGATCCCCCTCAGTCTAAGGTGAGCTTACCTTTCAGCTGGAGGTAGCCTTGAGCCAGATTTACATGTGCCTCTGCTAGTTTCCAATGTGAGTCTCCATAGCAAATTCTTGTCAGTGCTACGCAACGCACAAGCTCATGGACAGCCTGTTTGTACTGTAAGGAAGAGAAAACAGGCTTACCAGTTATACAACTTGAAACTAAGAGTCACAAAGCACAAAATAAACATGCTTTTATCCATTTGATAAATACTGAGTGCCTACTATGTACAAAACCTTGATCTAAGCACTTGAGATGTATCAGAGAACAAAACAGACAAAGATCTATTTGGGGTGGTAAAGTGTACGTCTGGTAAGATGAAATAGACAATAAATGTAACTGCAATTTGTAGTACATTTAAAGGTGAAAAAAAGTAATAGAATTTTAAAAATAGAAAATGTAGAGCAGACATCTAGTCATTCTTTAGGTTTCCCAGTTGCTCACCAATGAACAGCTACTACATAAGCAGGAACAACAGGTGCAAATGGTAGTGTTTTCAAATACTATACTTTTATTGTGTGTGTGTGTGAGACAGGGTCTCACTCTGTTACCCAGGCTGGAGTACAGTGGCACAGTATCAGCTAACTGCAGCCTCGACCTCTGGGGTGGGCTTGAGCGATCCTCCCACCTCAGCTTCCTGTGCAGGCTGGGATCACAAATGTGTACCACCACACCAGGCTAAATTTTTGTATTTTGGTAGAGATGGGGTTTCGCCATGCTGCTCAGGCTGCCAAATACTATACTTAAGCTCTCAATTCAAAATTTTTCTTAGCTGTCTATATTAGCTAGCAAATGAGATCAGCAGGACTCACAGACTTGATTAAAGTAGCAAGAAGCACATTTTTCATTCAGGCTAGGACAAAGAGAACAGAACACTGGATTCCCAGCTCCAGGTCATCTCAGACTAGCCATATCTTCAAAGCGAAGCTGATAGTTTTAAAACACAGCTCCAAAATTCTTTGATACTCCTTCCATCCAGATATTGGGGGGGGGGGGTCTATGTCCCATTCCCTTTGAATCTGGGCTTTATGACTATTTGGCCAATAGAACCTGGAGGAAATGATGAAGTGCCAGGTTTCAGGCCCAAGTCTTAAGGAACTGGTGCCTTTGCTTTTGTCTCTTCTTGGGTATTTACTCTTGAAACCTGTTATGGGCTAAATTGTGCCCCCTCCCCAACCTCCCTGAATTCATATATTGAAGTTCCAACCCCCAGTACCTTATAATGTAACTGTTTTTGGAGATGAGGTCTTTGAAGAGGTGATTTAAGTTCAAAGGAGGGGTTAGGGTAAACCCTAGTCCAATACAGCTGGTATCCTCATATATGAAAAGGAAAAGACACCAGGGATGGGCATGCACATGGAGAAATGATCATGTGAGAATACAGCAAGAGACAGTCAGCTACAAACTAAACAGAGAGGTTTTAGAATGAAATCAAGCCCTGTTCACACCTTGATCTTGGACTTCTAGCCTCCAGAACTGTGAGGAAATAAAAACTATTCTTTAAGCCTCAGCATCTGTGGGATTTTGTTATGACAGCACTACAAACTAATACAGAAACCCCATGCTGGGAGGAAGCCAACATGGCCCCATGGAGAGAAGACCCACATAGAAAGGCACTGATAGTTTGAGTGAACTATTTTGGTGGCAGAAATCTCCAGACCCTTCAAGACCAGCTGATGCTGTATGGAGCAAAGCTAAGCAAACCCCACTGAGCTCTGCAAAAACTGCAGGCTCATGAGAAAAATGAATGGCTATTCTTGTTTTAAGCCAGTAAGTTGCTGGGGTATTATGCAGCAACAGATAGCAAGAACAGCAAGAGAGATGGCTGTAGAAAGAAAGCTGAAGGGGTCAAACCAGAGGAAGAAAGGTAAGAACAAAGACAGAGTTGTGGAGAAGATCCAGGATGCACCCAGGATGCACCCTCATCAATGTCAAAGCTCAAAGGGCTTGCATTTCCACACAATTCCTACATGCATTAGAAATATCTTCACCCTAAAACAACATTTTTCTTAACAAAATACACAGCCAGACAGCTGGCCACAGGAAAGTCACTTTTGTGACCTACCAGGAGGAAGCTGAGGAATATGTGCTCATCATAAAGTGCTGAAAGAAGGTGGACTGTGGCATTTTTTTCCTATAGTAACATGTTTCCTATTACAAAAATAATGTATGTTCATTGTCTAAATACAGATGAGCAAAAAGATAAAAACTAAGAATCACCTGTAAGTTTATTCCCTAGAGATGTCTAGGTAGCTAAATATCCCTTCATTCTTTACTTTTATGAATCTATCTATACATATTTTTTCTTTTTCAAAAATAGGTTCATAAGCTACATGCAGGTTTACAGTCTGCTGTTTAAACAATTTATGAATAACTTCTCATGTCATCTGTAAATTTGAATGGCTGCACAGTATTTTATTATATGAATATATCATAACTGCATTACTCAATCCACTCTTTATTGGGCCCTTAGGTGTTCATAAATTTTTTACTCACTGAATATCCTGTATGGATAGCTTTGCACATACTCATAAATATCTCCACAAAATAAATTCCTACAAATAGGATTGTTGGGTAAAGGATATGCAAAATTCTGAGGCTATGAGTAGCTACTGTTGGAGTACTTCTGCAAGAGGTTGTACCAGTTCACACTTTCAGTGCAGCATACGTGAGCAGAAATGCCCCTTACATTGAACTGAGTACAAACTGTGGAGTTTTTGTTTTGTTTTTAGTTTGTCAGTTAGCCTGTTTCTCCTGGATTTAGTCCACATTTTCCCCATAAATTGATGAGGCTGAACATCTTCACATGTTAACTGGCTGTTTGTAGTTTTTTTGGGAATCACCTTTTATTGCCTCTAGACACAGGAGGTTTAGGTAATGACTTCTTTGGAGAGATAAAGATAACAACAACTATAGTGCATGAAAGAGAAGGAAATGATGACAATATCATGGAATCCAGACAGACAAAAAGAGAGGGAGATCTGTTTTGATAATGAATCTGTCCCAACTACAGATTTCCAGCAAAGGGGACTGCACAGGCTGAGCTGGGGTTTCCTGATCATAGCTCTGGTTTTCAGGACTTGAGTAGGGATACAGGTATAGAAAAAACAGCTTGTCCTCCCTTCACATCCTTACTTGTTATAGGCATGGTCCAGATATCCCTATTGGTTTTCCAACCTTTATTCTACCAGTTCCCGTGGCTTTGGCAATAGGCATCAGTAAGGGGCAGAGCAGATAGAAGACAAGTACGAAGTAGGAAGACAATTTCAAAACTGGGATGAGTTTTGGAAATAATGTAATCTAGTCCCCTCAATTTGAAAATGAAGGATAAGGCTGGGAAGTTGAGGTGATTTACCAGCAAGTGGTAGCATCAGAATTCACGGTCAAGCTCCTTGATGCAAAGTCCAGAGGTCTTTTCACAACTTCATTCTTGGATTATCTGAAGTTTTCTAAACTTCTTAATATTAAAATATGCAATGCTGATTATCAGTAGGTCTAGCCCATATATATTTAAAAATGGACATTTAATACCCAGATCTTGGTGTCTAAATGCTACTCTCCACTAAGCTGAACCAAGGTTCCCTGCTGCAGGGGAAGTCCAAGATGAATCTGACAAACTTGTGCTGCCAGAAATCAAGGAAGTGATTAAACAATGAGGACATGGATTGAGGACTCAGGAGCCAGCTTGACGGGCCTCCCATTGGCAGATATGGAACAATCTGAGCTTCCATGAAAATAACAGGTTGCAGCATATTTGAAAAATAAAATTTCCTGAACCCATACTGATAAGAATAATTGGATGATAAATAAGCTGTGAAGAAAGAAAAGCTCCTCCTTATCATAGAATGCCAACAAACGTTGAAAGGATGTGGAAGTCAGAGACTGGCTATGTGACAAATATCACAGTAATAACTGATTCAGGTGAAAATCATCAGTGAATACTAAAACTGGCAGAGTGAAGTTTTAAATATATACATAGTCTCAGTGAATCTCCCCACAAAATACTCAATAATTACAAAGGCAAAAATAGCAATTCTGCAGTAAAGAAACCTGCCAGTCAGCACCTTAACCAAGTAGTCAAGGTTGGTATCACTGCAACGAGACTAATAGACATTATGCACCTCTTGACAGCATGCACTAAGAAGGGCCCCACGTCACACCTGTGGTATTCCTGCTCCAAATGTACAAACTGAATAAAATCATGAGGAAGCATAAGACAAACTCAAATGGAGAGATATTCTACAAAATAATTAGAGTGTACATTTCCAAGATATTAAGATCATGAAAAACAGAGTAGGTTAAGCAACTGTTTCACATTAAAGGAGACTAAAGAGACATGACAACTCTATTTAACATGAATTTGCAGACTGAACCACAGATCTGATTTTTTTTCTGTAGAGGACATTATTAAGAAGAAATATGGACAAGTTTACAGACTAGATAATAGTATTATACTGACATCAATTTCCTAATTACAATCACTGTACTGTAGCTATGTAAGGGAATAGTTTTTACAGAATAAACACTGAAGTATTTGGGGGTAAAGGGCCATAATATCTACAGCTTACTCTCAGTTCAGAAAAACAACGAAAGACAAAGAACAAAGCAACAAAGCAAATGTTAAAAATGAGTAAATCTTGTGACTTTTCTGTAAGTCAGAAATTATTTTAAAACACAAAATAACCAAAAAACTGGTATTTTAAAAAGTAAATTACATCTTATTAATACCTTGCTGAAAATACTTTTAAGGCCTTTCAGAGTACTTAGCTTGAAACCTGCAAGGCCCTAAGTGAACTGACAGCCTCTCTCACCATATTTAATGTCAGCTTGTAGCTGCTTCTCCTTGCTTAAAATATGTCCTGCTTGTGCTTACCTTGTAGATTTACGTGTGCTGTTTCCGCTCTCTAGAACTCTTTCACCTCAGCTCCTCCATACTGACTCCTTCTCTTCCTCAGGTCTCAGCTTATCTGTCACATCTTCCTGGAGGCCCTCCCTGATCAACCTACCCAAGAGGGAGCCAGCCTATGTCCTCCTTAGCACTTATCACAGTCTATGATCATCTGGTTCATTTACAATGTCAATTGCCTCTCAGCTCCATGAGGGTATGCACTTTGTCTGTCCTGTTCACTGTTGTATCCTGGATTCTTCACCAGAACCTCAGAACAACGAAATGTTTAATACCATTCTAGATGCACAGAAAAGAATTATTTAAATCTGTTAAATGCCTTTCGGCATGAAGGCTTAATTCTTTGCAGAAGTCTAGTTGAGAAAGGCTGCCAGCCTAGAGCCTACAAATAATAGGTACTGAGTGAGTATCTGTGCATAATGAACAAGCACACCCTCAAAACCAAATTTATGCCCTTTCTCCCTAATCCTGGTCTTTATCCTATATTCATTATACTGATGAAAGTCATGGGCAAGCCTGCAATCACCCAAGCAGACTAAGACCTTGGGTGGTGGGAATTCTACACACCCCAGCTTTCTCACTCTCACATCTCCATTCTCTACGTCCCCGTTAGTCATCCAGTCCTGTCCCACTGATTACCATTTCTAAATTCCTTTCAAAAGAGCTCAGCATTTCTACTGCCTCTGCCACATGTAGTTTAGGCCCTCATGATTCCTTGCCAGGATTATTGCAAATATCCTCCTAACTGATCCTCCTCTTCCGGTTTTATTCTTTTTTTGTCCATATTCTTCATAGCTATGGGAATGATTGTTCTTAAAATTAAACCTGCTCATGGCATGCTTCTGCTGGTAATCTCATGGTAATCCTCCATCATCTTTAGGAGAAAATAAAAACTCTTTCACTAGGCCTTGAGTGCCCTCTGGGTCTCAGTTCCTGTCCATAATCCAGCCTCATTTCTCGCCCTGTGTCATTTATACCTTAGTCCCAGACAGCTCCTTATAGTTCCCCAGACTATAATCCCTCAGACCCATGGCTCCTGTCCATCTGCTACCTCTGCCCAGAACATTTTGGTCCTCTTCCTAAGCACTGTTTACCAGTACAGTCCAAGTAACTCCCATCCCAACAAAGTGTGCTTTAACTGCTGTCCCTCTACCACCTCCAGGCTCATTGCCCCCCGTTTCTGTTTTGTATCTGTGTCACTTGAGCGCTCACAGAACTTATCAAACTAACTACCATTATCTGTCACCCTATCTTCCCAACCAAATCCTGAGCGCCTCCAAGACAAGTAGTTTTTCCATCTGTAACCCTGGTACCTACATGGTACCTGGCACATATTAGGCATAGCATGGGTATTTATGATGAATGGATGAACAGGATCCAACACGTAAGAGGTGATAGAGAAATGCCTATTGAATGAGTGAGTGAATGAGTAAAACTCTTGAGGAAAGAAGTATGCAGAGAACAAGAAGATTTACGATCATAAGGAATTAGAAGCTCTATGAGAGCAGAGGCCTTACCTGCTTTGTTTGTGTTGTATTCCAGTACCTAGACTTGGCACACAGTGGCAGCTCAACCAATATTTGTTGTTGGCCATGTCAGCTGCTGTGCCTGGAGCCTAGAGTACTACATTCATTCATCTTATAACAAAGGCACTGTCTTATATACTCTCTTGTATCAAACGCCTGAGATTTAGGAATGTAATCTGAAACATCCTACTTCTCTTGATTATACCTTACAGCTCAATTCCCAGAGAAGAAATACAGAAACAAAAGTCTCCTTACTTCATGACTGCTGGAATAGGACTTTGCTTTCTCTTCACAGAGGTGGAGTTTCTCTCGAGGAGGCTGGAATAGTGCTGCCTGAGGCAGTTTGCTTTGGAACTTCTCTCTATGGGTGACGCTAACAGCAGCAACAACTTCATCTAGGTGGTTGGATGTGTGGGTTTCCTCTGATTCTTGCATATTTTTACGTACATTGTCTTCTCATTTTAAAATAAAAACAAAGATATTAAATGACAATTTCCATAGTTACTTTTAGAAATATACATTTCAACACTATAAGCCACAATTTCTTTGAAATTAGTAGCATTATATCCCAAAAGATTATGGTGGCTACTACTGACCTGCTGATTTTTATTTTCAACTAAATTAAACCTTCTTTCTTTACATATATACAGCAATATACACATACATGCAAATACACACATACACATGTGGATATATACACACACATACATACGTGTATACAAACACATACATATGTGTATATGTGTATACATTGTATTATACACATACATATGTATATATAGTCCAGTAGAAATTAGTTTAGCACATACATATATACCTGTATGTACATATATATAAAGTCCAATACAAATCATTTTAGCCCAAACAGCTCTCAATGAACCCAGATTAAATTAGCTGAACCCCAATTGACCCTGAGGTAGAAAATAAATAACTGTTGTTACAACTTTTACTTCTGGCCAAGATGAAGTGATAGTAAATACATTTATCCTCTTGCCTGAAATAACCCAAAACAAACAAATAAACAGCCCACAGAACAAAGGATAAAACAATGGTTTCAAGAAACAAGACAAGCAATGAGAGAGCAATTCTTGAAAGATGGAAAAAATAAAGTGAGACCTACAATCACCCCAGTGTATTGCTTTGAGTTTCCAGGAAATGGCGCAAGGAGAGGGGACCCAGAAGCCACCCCGGTGGGTTACTTGAGTCGAGGAAGTAGAACTGAGAGTTCAGGGAGACCAAGGTGGCCAGAACTGACAGGACAAATTACTGAAGAGAAGAAGGCTCCACAGACAGAAGAACCAAGAGATTAGCAGAGGGACCCCCTCAAGTATGGAGAGAGAATACTGATTAGCATGTACGTAAGAAGATTATTTAAGTCTGAAGAAAGACTCCTTCAATAAGGTTACAGGGAACAGTGTTTTCTGCTCACATAAGGCTGGCAGTGCCTGTTCCCACCAATCAGGCTGAAAAAACTCCTAATTCATGAAGCATTGGATAGAGTATTTGGAAGCCTTTTATCTCAGTAGTAGTGATAATTAGCTCTAGACTGAACACTGCTCAGATCACAAAACAAATCATAAAAAGTAAGACCTAAAAGGATCAAACTGTTTCTAAGTGACTTAATTGCACCAAAGGACAATACTCAAAGATGTTCACAGGAATACTAAAATAACCAACACCCAACAAGGTAAAATTCACAAAGTCTAGCATCCAAAGCTGGAAAACATAGCCCATAATGAGAATAATCAAGAGACCAAAACTGACCCAGAATTGACACACATGTTAAATTAGCAGGAAAAAAACCCATTAAAACTGTTATAATAATTGTATTCTATATGTTTAAAAAGTAGTTAAAGACATGGAAGAAATAAAAAAGACCCAAATGGAACTTGTAGATAGCAAAATTATTTGTGAAGATGGAAATGTGTGGGATTAACAGCAGATTAGACGTTGCAGGTGAAAAAATGAATTTGTAGGCTTAGCAATAAAAATTATCAAAAATGAAAAAAAAATCAGTGAGTTGTAAAACAACTTCAAGTTGCCTAATATATATGACATTTGAGTCCCTCTAAAGGAAAGCAGATTGGAGGAGGGACAGAAAACTATTTGAAGAAATAATGACCAATACTTTTTCCTAATTTAAGAAAAAACATAAAGCCAGAGATCCAAGAAGTTCAATGAACATTAAACACAAGAAACAAGAAGAAAACTACATCAAATAAAGTCAAAACATTGTAACCAAATTGCTTAAAAAACTATGATAAAGCAAAAATCTTTATCATAATTTTAAGCAATTAAAACTATCTCTACCAAGTAGTTAGAGAAAAAAGACACATTGCATATAAAAAATAAAGATAAGGGTAACAGATTTCTTAGAGGAATAAAAAGCACACAGGAGAGTTAAAGATATTGATTATCTTTGAAGTATGGAAAGAAAAAAGTTGTCAACCTTAAATTCTGTACCAGTGAAAATATCTTTCAAAAACAAAATTTATAATAATTAATTACCAGAAGACTTGCACTACAATGTTCTCAAAGAAATATAAAAGAAAGTCTTTCAGAAGGAAGGAAAATGATAGCAAATGGAACTCTAGGTCAGCAAAAAAGAAGATGTTGGAAATGGTAACAACATGGGTAAATATGTAAGACTGCATTCATATTACAATCATGTTCAGCTTTGTGGCATTTCAGTCAATGACAGAATGCATTTATAAAGGTAGTCCCATAAAATTATTATAATGGAGCTGAAGAATTCCTATTGCATAGTGATACAGCAGCTGTCGTAACATCATGGCATGATGCATTTATTCATGTGCTTGTGGTGATGTGGGTGTAAACAAACGTATTGTGCAGGTAGCCATAGCCATACAAAAGTAAAGCAAATATAATTATGTACAGTACATGCTATGTGATAATATTTAATAAATCACTGTTACTGCTTATGTATTTAATATACATTTTATCATTATTTTAAAGCATACTTCTTCTACTTATAAATTTCTAAAAGTTAACTCTAAAAAAGGCTTAAGCAAGTCCTTCAAGAGGTATTCCAAAAGAAGGTATTCCATTATCATCATAGGTGATGAAAGCTCCATGCATGTTTTTGCCCCTGAAGACCCTCCAGTGGGACAAGATGTGGAGGTGGAAGACAGTGATACTGATGATCCTGACTGTGTAGAACTACATTAATGTGTGTGTTTGTGTCTTAGTTTTAACAAAAATGTTTAAAAAGTAAAAGAAGAAAATAAAAATTTAAAAAATAGGAAAAAGCTTATGGAGTAAGGATAGAAAGAAAAAACTCTGTATAGCTGTACAATGTATTTGTGTTTTAAGCTAAGTGTTATGACAAGAGTCAAAATGCTAAAAAAAAAAAAAAAATTTAGGCCAGGCATGGTAGCTCATGCCTGTTATCCCAGCACTTTGGAAGGCTGAGGCAGGTGGATCACCTGAGGTCAGGAGTTTGAGACCAGCCTGACCAACACAGTGAAACCCTGTCTCTACTAAATACAAAAAATTCGCCAGGCGTGGTGGTGCATGTCTGTCATCCCAGGTACTTGGGAAGCTGAGGCAGGAGAATGGCTTGAACCTGGGAGGAGGAGGTTGCAGTGAGCCGAGACTATGCCACTGCACTCCAGCCTGGGCGACAGAGTGAGACTCTGCTTAAAAAAAAAAAATTTTTTTTTTTAAAGTTTACAAAGTAAAAAAGTTACAATAAGCTAAAGTTAATTTATTATTAAAGAAAGCAAAATTGTTTTAATAAATTGCGGATAGCCTGTGTACAGTGTTTATTAAGTCTACAGTGTTCCAATAAGCTAAAGTTAATTTATTATTAAGGAAAGCAAAATTGTTTTAATAAATTGTGGACAGCCTGTGTACAGTGTTTATAAAGTCTAGAGTAGTGTACAGTAACGTCTTAGGCCTTCACATTCACTCACCACTCACTCACTAACTCACCCAGAACAACTTCCAGTATACACAATGAAATACTACTCAGCCTTAAAAAAAGGGCATCCTGTCATTTGTGACAACATGACGAACCTGGAGAACATTAAGTTAAATAGCTAGTCACAGAAAGATAAATACTGAATGATCTCACTCATATGTATAATCTAAAAAAGTTGAACTCACACAAGTAGAGAGTAGAATGGTGGTTACAAGAAGTTGAGGGAAGAGGAATAAATTCAAGGGATCTATTGTATAACATGGTGACTACTGCATTGTTTCCTTGAAAATTGCTAAGAAAGTAGATTTCAAGTGTTCACATAAAAATGATAAATATGTGAGGTAATACATGTTAATTAGCTTATTTAGCCATTCTACGACATATACATATTTCAAGACATCATGTTATACAAAATAAAAGAAAGAATGAGAGAGATGATATCACTACAGATTCTACAAATATTAAAAGGTTAATAAGAGAATATTATGAACACCTTTATACCATAAACTTGTCAACACAGATGAACAAATTCCTTTAAAGACACAAACTACCAAAGCCCAGAATATTAATAAAAAAGAAAAACTATATGATCATCTCACTCAAAACAGAAATAGTACTTGACAGCATCTAATATCTAATATCTATTCCTGATGAAAATTCTTAGCAAAATAGTAATAGAATTATACTTCCTCAATGTGACAGGCAATCTTTTGAGCTTCCCTGGGCCACATTAGATGAAGAATTGTCTTGGACCACACCTAAAATATGTTAACACTAATGATAGCCACTGAGCTAAAAAAAAAAAAAAAAAAAAAAATTGCAAAAAAAAAAAAAAAAAACGCTCATATGTTTTAAGAAAGTTTATGAATTTGTGTTGGGTCATATTCAAAGCTGTCTTGGGCTGCATGCGGCCTGTGGGCCACAGGTTGGACAAGCTTGTAGAATATAAGATCACTACACAAAATATTATTTTTCTGTATCAGCAATGAACAATCAAATTGAAATTAAAATATAATACCACGTGTAACAGCATCAAAAATAGGATAGGAATAAATCTTACCAAAAGATGAGTAAGATCTGTACAAAAGTTAAAACTACAGAACAATACTGAGAGAAATTAAAGAAGGCCTAAATAAATAGAAGCACACACCATATCCATGGGTTGGAAGACTCAACATTATTAAGATGTTAATTCTACCTAAATTGAGCTACAGATTTAAAGCACACCCAATCCAAAACCCTACATGGGTTTCTGTTTTGTGTTTTTGTTTTTGATTTTTGGTAGAAACTGACAAATTGTTTTTAAAGTTCATATAAGAGTGTTAAGAATTTAGCACACCAAAATAACTTTGTAAAAGCAGAACACAGTTGGAGGATTAACATGGCTTTTCCCCATTCATTTACTTATAAAGTAGAAATTTAAACTTATTTAAATGTTTTTATTAAATCTAAAATATAGATTAAAAATTCTAATCTAAATGTAAAAATTAGATTTAAACCTAAAATATA